CATGGGTAATGTTAAGTCTATTTCATAGGAATAACATGGATAATGCTAAATCAATAGACAATAAAAAGTCTATGTGTAATGCTGAGTCTATGGACAATTATAAATCTGTGTACTGTCCTTACGATCGCTCACAGACTCAACACTATTATGGATTGCAATCGCGTTTTGGTCTGTATTTCAATCATTATTCAAATTAATTATTTAATAATTAAAGATAATTAATTCGTCATTTTATTTAATTAGGTTTTAGACGCGGGAGAGATCATAGAGTTTGACGAACCGTTTGTTTTACTGCAACGAAAAGGACAGTTGTATGACATGTGCCGCAAGACTGGGAAACATATGTTCAATCATTTACTAAATATGGCCAAAGAATCACATCTTAAGAGATTTGATACCTTAGAAGTCGACGACGAAGACAGGGATTAATTCGCGACTGATAACGAAACGACCACAAAATATTAATTAAACATTAATATTTATATTAACTTAAATATTAGTTTTTGAAAACCACAACATCACAAACTTTTGCATATCTCTACGGAACGTGATAAGTAGTGATAACTCAAAATTTACTTGATCAATTTTAACAAATTTTATACAACAATATTAATCATAAATTATAACTTAATACAGGTTTCATGGTTTTTAAATAAATAAACGTATATTATTATAATGCAATAAAGTTGTTAAATTACAGCATTTTAATTATTTTTTCATTTGAAATGTCAAGAATTTAAATTTAACGATAATTATGCCAAACTGACAACATAGAAATAGTACTGTATATTTTCAAGTTTTTATTATTATAAAAAACTGCGAATAAATAAAATTTTTATTTACAATTCAGTATGAATAATGTGGTTTATAGGATTGTTCGGCCCCCCTCCCTCCCGACTCTCCCACGCTATGAGATTTAACATGAGATTACAGCTTAAGTCTATGACATTGGATTAACATTGGAAACTCTCATAGGATTTACGTGGGGACGCTTTAACAAAGGTTTCTATGGGATTATAGCTTAAGTCTATGGCATAGAAATAACATGGGTAATGTTAAGTCTATTTCATAGGAATAACATGGATAATGCTAAATCAATAGACAATAAAAAGTCTATGTGTAATGCTGAGTCTATGGACAATTATAAATCTGTGTATAATGCTAAGTCTATAGACAATAGTAAGTCTATGTGTAATGCTAAGTCTATGGCATATGGATAACATGTATAATGGTATATCAATGGGATTATAAATGAATCTGCTATAATAAATAGAACTAATTGTTGTCAAAAACATTTAAAATTCTTAAAATAATAATAGTTAAAGTATTCTAACAATAGTATTGAAAGATTTAAAATTATTGATGCATTTCCCGAATAGTGGTTAACTTATAGCATCGCTGTGTGAGCCTTGTTTAAACAGCATTAAATTAATGATTTACTTTCACAAAGTTTTTGTTTTATTTATTGCATGTAGCTTTGTGTTTAATTTTATTTTGTTGTTTTTATTTAATGAAAATGTGCTGTATCATTTAAATTTTAATATTAATAATATATCAATCTATTGTAATGTTAATAACTGTGAAAAATATTAAGTTTATACATATGATTTGTTTAATCTATTTGGACAAATTTTAAAAAATCAATTTAATTCTATAAATTTATTAATTAATTTACTAATAATAATCTAGTTGGATAGTTAATTAATGCATTAATATATTTTTAAAACATAAAACCGCGGCGTATCTATGGGTTTTTAGGGTAATTAAATAGAAAATTCTGGAATTTAATTAAACAGTAAAATAATTAAAGCGGTAGTGTTTTGGGTTAATATTTTGGGAAACCAATGATTGTATTGCCGTTTTTTGGTGACCAACACGACAACGGCCAACAGATCCAACACAAGGGTTTTGGTCTCACTTTAAACGCCTTCCGTTGCACTGAAGAGGAGTTGTTGGGAGCCGTCGACCGACTACTGACTGATAAGGCTTTGAACCAAAAGTTGGCACAAATTGGCGAAAGAATACGAACTGAAAATAGTTTATCAAAAATTCCTGAAATATTTGAAGACTTTATCGCTAATCGACATAAATATATCAAATGATAAAAATATAATATCGATACTTGTTTTATTAAAACATTGTACATCTATTAATATTAATTAAAAAATATTGATTGACCATTTGTGCAGGCTACATCACAAAGCTTCACTTACTCTAATTATAAAAATACAATAGTTTGATTAATGTAATTTCATGAAACTTTATAAAATTTGTACAATTTACTTTATTGTTTTAATATTACATTTGAATTTTTTTTATCTTTAATTATATAAGGGTGCTATGTGCATGATTTGTTCTTATCCTTTTGACAAAGATTTTAAATTAATTTAAATTAGTTAATTAATTAATTATTACATAAATTAAAACTGATTAATTTAAACAAATTTTTTTATTATGTATAATTTTTTAAAAATTGTGAAGGTTTTTACCATCGATGACAACTATTATCTTATAATTATCATTCATTTAAATACAAAACATATTTTAAGTTTTAGTCCCATTTTTAATGTAAAACATTTGTAAACGTTATTTGTGTAGCGCACGCGCACTCATACCTACCATTCATAACACTCACTCAATAAACATTCACTTCAGGTTTGGCACTCAAAGTGATCGGTCGACTCATTCACTCACTCTTCTCATCGCTCGAGTGGATACCCAAAGGGAATGCTTTTTACGAAGCACTACCTGCGGGTCTCGCTCTAGAGCTCTTCTGACCACATTCCCGATCACGAGTTGTCCATGAATTGTCCACAATTGCTGTCCATTGAGTCCATTGTCTCCTTCGTCCTTTCGTTGCCATCATTTGATCCATTTGTCGCCTTTGAGTCCAAGAACATGGCTTTTGAGCCATAAGTCCGCCATTTTATCCCATTGTTTCACTCATTGTCTGCATTCATACCACACATTCATACACTCTTTATGTGGAAGTGATTGTCTTCACAGGTCTTACATCGACGGTAAACCTGACCTCACGGGTCGGGACCCGTCCGTACGGATCGCCAAACCTAAGATCCGTCACAAAATATTTAAATTTAATGATTAATAAAATAAAGTTTAAGCTAAAATCAAAAATAATTTTTGTTTAATATTAAAAATATAATATGCCTAATCAAAATCATTGACAGAAAACAGTAACAGTAAATTATTAACAGAGCATTGCATTATAAGTGTTTATAAGACCCCGAATAGTCACTATAATAGTTACGAAAAACAGCCTAAATAGTTACTTAAATAGTTAGTTATAATTTGAGAAAATAGGCTTAAAAATGATATAAAATATTACCAAATGCCAGTTTTACTCTTTAATACGTTAAATATAACTGTTTTTAAGCTAAATCACGTGTATTTAACTAAATTAACTGTTTTTAAGAATATTTTTAATTATTTTGGTCAAAACCCTGAATACATACAACTCATTATTTTGGTCATTCTATCG